ATTTTGATATAACTGTTCTTAGCAAAACAGTTCTATGTCGAAAAAGATAAATATGATATGTATTACGTTACCACTAAACTATTGTTTCTCCAAAAAAGGTTTTTTGTTTATGTAGAAAACAGTAATGTGAAATTCATATTGTTACCAGAACCTAATCTTGATATCAATATTATCAAGGTGGTTATAGATATAGGAAAACAAGGAAGACGTGATATTACCATCGTTACAAAAACCTAGAGAGTTCCTTAACTGATGATAAACAATTACAGGTACCGTAACCCCTAACATGTTGTATAAATAGAAAGTTCCTAAACTGATGATTAACAATTACAGGTACTGTAACCCCCAACATGTCGTATTAGTACTGTAACCCCCAACATGTTGTATTAGTACTATAACCACCAACATGTTGTATTAATAGAAAGTTCTTAAACTGATGATTAACAATTACATGTACTGTAACCCCCAACATGTCGTAGTAGTACTGTAACCCCGAAACATGTTGTATTAGTACAGTAACCACCAACATGTTGTATTAATAGAAAGTTCTTAAACTGATGATTAACAATTACAGGTACTGTAACCCCCAACATGTCGTAGTAGTACTGTAACCCCGAAACATGATGTATTAGTACCGTAACCCCCAACAGGTTGTATCAATACGGTAACCACCAACATGTTGTATTAATAGAAAGTTCTTAAACTGATGATTAATAATTACAAGTACTGTAACCCCCAACATGTCGTATTAGTACTGTAACCCCGAAACATGTTGTATTAGTACCGTAACCCCCAACATGTTGTATCAATACTGTAACCACCAACATGTTGTATTAGTACTGTAACCACCAACATGTTGTATTAATACTGTAACCACCAACATGTTGTATTAATATTGTAACCACCAACATGTTGTATTAGTACTGTAACCACCAACATGTTGTATTAGTACTGTAACCACCAACATGTTGTATTAGTACTGTAACCACCAACATGTTGTATTAGTACTGTAACCACCAACATGTTGTATTAGTACTGTAACCACCAACATGTTGTATTAGTACTGTAACCACCAACATGTTGTATTAGTACTGTAACCACCAACATGTTGTATTAGTACTGTAACCACCAACATGTTGTATTAGTACTGTAACCACCAACATGTTGTATTAGTACTGTAACCACCAACATGTTGTATTAGTACTGTAACCACCAACATGTTGTATTAGTACTGTAACCACCAACATGTTGTATTAGTACTGTAACCACCAACATGTTGTATTAGTACTGTAACCACCAACATGTTGTATTAGTACTGTAACCACCAACATGTTGTATTAGTACTGTAACCACCAACATGTTGTATTAGTACTGTAACCACCAACATGTTGTATTAGTACTGTAACCACCAACATGTTGTATTAGTACTGTAACCACCAACATGTTGTATTAGTACTGTAACCACCAACATGTTGTATTAGTACTGTAACCACCAACATGTTGTATTAGTACTGTAACCACCAACATGTTGTATTAATACTGTAACCACCAACATGTTGTATTAGTACTGTAACCACCAACATGTTGTATTAGTACTGTAACCACCAACATGTTGTATTAGTACTGTAACCACCAACATGTTGTATTAGTACTGTAACCACCAACATGTTGTATTAGTACTGTAACCACCAACATGTTGTATTAGTACTGTAACCACCAACATGTTGTATTAGTACTGTAACCACCAACATGTTGTATTAGTACTGTAACCACCAACATGTTGTATTAGTACTGTAACCACCAACATGTTGTATTAGTACTGTAACCACCAACATGTTGTATTAGTACTGTAACCACCAACATGTTGTATTAGTACTGTAACCACCAACATGTTGTATTAGTACTGTAACCACCAACATGTTGTATTAGTACTGTAACCACCAACATGTTGTATTAGTACTGTAACCACCAACATGTTGTATTAGTACTGTAACCACCAACATGTTGTATTAGTACTGTAACCACCAACATGTTGTATTAGTACTGTAACCACCAACATGTTGTATTAGTACTGTAACCACCAACATGTTGTATTAGTACTGTAACCACCAACATGTTGTATTAGTACTGTAACCACCAACATGTTGTATTAGTACTGTAACCACCAACATGTTGTATTAGTACTGTAACCACCAACATGTTGTATTAGTACTGTAACCACCAACATGTTGTATTAGTACTGTAACCACCAACATGTTGTATTAGTACTGTAACCACCAACATGTTGTATTAGTACTGTAACCACCAACATGTTGTATTAGTACTGTAACCACCAACATGTTGTATTAGTACTGTAACCACCAACATGTTGTATTAGTACTGTAACCACCAACATGTTGTATTAGTACTGTAACCACCAACATGTTGTATTAGTACTGTAACCACCAACATGTTGTATTAGTACTGTAACCACCAACATGTTGTATTAGTACTGTAACCACCAACATGTTGTATTAGTACTGTAACCACCAACATGTTGTATTAGTACTGTAACCACCAACATGTTGTATTAGTACTGTAACCACCAACATGTTGTATTAGTACTGTAACCACCAACATGTTGTATTAGTACTGTAACCACCAACATGTTGTATTAGTACTGTAACCACCAACATGTTGTATTAGTACTGTAACCACCAACATGTTGTATTAGTACTGTAACCACCAACATGTTGTATTAGTACTGTAACCACCAACATGTTGTATTAGTACTGTAACCACCAACATGTTGTATTAGTACTGTAACCACCAACATGTTGTATTAGTACTGTAACCACCAACATGTTGTATTAGTACTGTAACCACCAACATGTTGTATTAGTACTGTAACCACCAACATGTTGTATTAGTACTGTAACCACCAACATGTTGTATTAGTACTGTAACCACCAACATGTTGTATTAGTACTGTAACCACCAACATGTTGTATTAGTACTGTAACCACCAACATGTTGTATTAGTACTGTAACCACCAACATGTTGTATTAGTACTGTAACCACCAACATGTTGTATTAGTACTGTAACCACCAACATGTTGTATTAGTACTGTAACCACCAACATGTTGTATTAGTACTGTAACCACCAACATGTTGTATTAGTACTGTAACCACCAACATGTTGTATTAGTACTGTAACCACCAACATGTTGTATTAGTACTGTAACCACCAACATGTTGTATTAGTACTGTAACCACCAACATGTTGTATTAGTACTGTAACCACCAACATGTTGTATTAGTACTGTAACCACCAACATGTTGTATTAGTACTGTAACCACCAACATGTTGTATTAGTACTGTAAACCCCAACATGTTGTATTAGTACTGTAACCCCCAACATATCGTATTAGTACTGTAACCCCCAACATGTAGTATTAGTACTGTAACCCTCAACATGTTTTATTAGTACTGTAACCCCCAACATGTCGTATTAGTACTGTAACAATACTGTAACCCCCAACATGTCGTATTAATACTGTAACCCCCAACATGTCGTATTAGTACTGTAACCACCAACATGTTGTATTAGTACTGTAACCACCAACATGTTGTATTAGTACTGTAACAATACTGTAACCCCAACATGTCGTATTAATACTGTAACCCCCAACATGTCGTATTAGTACTGTAACCCCCCAACATGTTGTATTAGTACTGTAACCCCCAACATATTGTATTAGTACTGTAACCACCAACATGTTGTATTAGTACTGTAACCACCAACATATTGTATTTATACTGTAACCACCAACATGTTGTATTAGTACTGTAACCCCCAACATGTTGTATTAGTACTGTAACCCCCAACATGTCGTATTAGTACTGTAACCACCAACATGTTGTATTAATAGAAAGTTCCTAAACTGATGATTAACAATTACAAGTACTATAACCCCCAACATGTCGTATAAGTACTGTAACCCCCAACATGTTGTATTAATACTTTAACCACCAACATGTTGTATTAGTACTGTAACCCCCAACATGTTGTATTAGTACTGTAACCCCCAACATGTTGTATTAGTACTGTAACCACCAACATGTTGTATTAATACTGTAACCACCAACATGTCGTATTAGTACTGTAACCCCCAACATGTCGTATTAGTACTGTAACCACCAACATGTTGTATGAGTACTGTAACCACCAACATTTTGTATTAGTACTGTAACCACCAACATGTTGTATTAGTACTGTAACCACCAACATGTTGTATTAGTACTGTAACCACCAACATGTTGTATTAGTACTGTAACCACCAACATGTTGTATTAGTACTGTAACCACCAACATGTTGTATTAGTACTGTAACCACCAACATGTTGTATTAGTACTGTAACCACCAACATGTTGTATTAGTACTGTAACCACCAACATGTTGTATTAGTACTGTAACCACCAACATGTTGTATTAGTACTGTAACCACCAACATGTTGTATTAGTACTGTAACCACCAACATGTTGTATTAGTACTGTAACCACCAACATGTTGTATTAGTACTGTAACCACCAACATGTTGTATTAGTACTGTAACCACCAACATGTTGTATTAGTACTGTAACCACCAACATGTTGTATTAGTACTGTAACCACCAACATGTTGTATTAGTACTGTAACCACCAACATGTTGTATTAGTACTGTAACCACCAACATGTTGTATTAGTACTGTAACCACCAACATGTTGTATTAGTACTGTAACCACCAACATGTTGTATTAGTACTGTAACCACCAACATGTTGTATTAGTACTGTAACCACCAACATGTTGTATTAGTACTGTAACCACCAACATGTTGTATTAGTACTGTAACCACCAACATGTTGTATTAGTACTGTAACCACCAACATGTTGTATTAGTACTGTAACCACCAACATGTTGTATTAGTACTGTAACCACCAACATGTTGTATTAGTACTGTAACCACCAACATGTTGTATTAGTACTGTAACCACCAACATGTTGTATTAGTACTGTAACCACCAACATGTTGTATTAATAGAAAGTTCCTAAACTGGTGATTAACAATTACAGGTACTGTAACCCCAAACATGTTGTATTCATAGAAAGTACTTGATTCGATCAAAGACATGATAAAGACATAAAACTTGAATTGTAAGATACACAACTAAACCCACGTGTACAGTTTACGATAAAGATCACATATTTTATACTGGATTAAATAATCAAGAAAACTATCTTCTGTGTTCTTTCATATTAAAATGACGTCATTTGAACTTTCCAAAACCCGCTATTCAGTGGTTTAGTAACATTGATTGACCTATCTATTTCACTATTTCACTTTACAAGCAACGGAAAATAACGATAGCGAACGCTAGTTCACCATATAGTTAATGTAAAGAATGACAATGTATGACACCAATGAAATGTATTTTGTCTTACAGACATTGCCGGAAGTGGTCGATTTTAACAGACATTGGAGTCGACAGCTGCGACTTCACACAGAGAAGACAAAACACGTGCACATCGCTGTCTAACAAATGTAAGCTACTGTAAAACGGCTTAGTAATCGATTTTCTCATCTTCTCATCTTGTATTGCCAATGGAACAAACAGATACTTATGATCTACATATTTTCCTTTCTTTATCCGTTCGGTGCTGTTAACCAATGTATCTCAATACTCGACGTTTTCATGATCATACGCTTCCGAGAGACTGAAACATGCTGATGAAGGAAGCGTCCTTCATGGATTGATTGATCTGGCACGCTAAAGCTCCACTGTCATCGACCTCGCAAGGTTAAGGTACACAGTGCTCCGTCCTTTGGCCTATGGAGAAGCATTTCCTGTATGTCCGTTGACTGGTCGGGATCCAAAGTAAAGTTGAACCATTGTAAAAACTTCACCAATATTATCTTTGACTCAACCTGAAAAGAGCAACAAATAATGATGATTTGAAAATAGCTTGAAACAGTTAAATGGTATCCAAAACTTTACTGTTCAGAAACCTTAAAGAAATAAGTAACAAAAACAAAACAAAAAGCGTTAGGT